GACTGAAGAACAGAAGGACAGCAACTTGTCTGTTCCCCTTCCCCCAATTCCCCAGCACTGTTCCCATCCCCCCAATTCCCCAATAAAAAAAAAATCTAAAAAAAAAAAAACAGGCTTGAACATGGCAATAGGCATCTAATTCATTTCTTTAAGTGACAGGTAAGTAAGGATATATAGAAAACCTAACTAACATAATTAATAGAGTAGATATTAATATAATTGGTATATACCAAATTCTGAATCCTGAAAACAGAACCACCACATCTTCTTTTCAAGTCCCCATAAAAATAAGTCTCAAAACTCACAAACATTACCATATATTGCAAAGAAAACTTTGGTAAAGTACAAAAAAGTAGAGATTATAGACAACATTATTTGATCATAATGCAACAAAACTAGAAAAAAACAAAACACAAAGCACCTATTGCCTGGGTAAGAGGTGGAACTCAAATGAGCCTTAGGTCAAAGAAGAAATCGAAGCCAAAATTATAAAATATCTAGAAAAAATGATAATAAAATGCTAATGGGTTGTAGGAAAAGTCATGATACATTTTTGCAATGAAAAACATAGAAAAATACTTCATGACTTTTCTGACAACCCAATACATATTAGAGCCTATAGGATATAGCTAACTAAAGCAGTGTTCAGAGAATTCATACCCTTAATTTTCTCTTTTTTTCTTGTTTATCAGTATAAAGATTTAAGCCTCTATCTCAAATTAAAAAATAAAGAAAGCAGGAAGGAGATTTTTTTTTAAAGATTTTTATTGGGGAATTGGGGGGATGGGAACAGTGCTGGGGAATTAGGGGAAGGGGAGCAGACAAGTTGCTGTCGTTTTGTTCTTCAGTCTAGTTGTGGAGGACGTTGCTTCACTGGCCCAAGTTGGCACCATCATTGCGCTCTTCCAAGGCGAGGCACATCAGTCGCCGGCTTCTGGACGGCCGCTCACTGCGGCTGCTGGCCGCTCACACTGGCTGCTGGCTACACACGGTAGCCCATGGCAACCCACTGCCACAGGGACTGCAGCCTACGCCGTCACCAGCGACTCACGGCAGCCCAGCTCCAGGTTGAGCTGTTGTTCAGCATCTTAGCTGTGGAGGGCAGTGTCACTGGCCCTCATATGTGGGATCCGAACCGGGGCCCTCTGGCGTCCCAAGCCAGTTCTTAACCATCGCGCCACTCGGCCGGCCCAGGAAGGAGATTTTAATAAAGACACGAATTAATGAATTAGAAACCAGAAAGGGGTAATTACTAATAAATAAATCCTAAAGATGGATCTTTAGGAATAAGGGATAGATAACCTCATTAGCTAATGAGAAAAAAAATGAGGAGAAAGAAGTACAAAATATATAAGAAATAGGGTGAAATAATTATTTAAAAGAATTGTAAATTATTGTGTTCAATCTCATGCAAATAAATTTGAAAACCTGGATAAAAGAAATACTTTTCTAGAGAAATATAATTTACTAAATTCATTCAAGGAGAACAATTAACACAAATAAATTATTACAGAAGAAACCAGAGAACATTATCAAAAAGCTACCCACCCAACCCATGTAAATGCACTAGCATAGACTGTTTCAAGGAGGATCAACCAATCTTTAAGGAACAGATCATCTATTTCTACTTAAACTGTTACAAAATCTATTTCTACTTAAACTGTTATAAAGCTTAGAGAAAGAAGGAAATCCTCCATTCTCTTTATGAAGTGAGCATAACACTGATAGCAAAATCCTCCCAAAACATTGTTCCACAAAAAGAAAACTAAAGACTACTCCCATTGATGATATTGAGGCAAAACTCCTAAGTAAAAGAGCAAATCCAATCCCTCAGTAATTAAAAAGAAATAGTCACCATAACCAAGTGGGATTCAACTAGGAATGCAAGGATGGTTCAATATTAAGAAATCTATATCATTATTCCTATTGATAGATCAAAGGGAAAAAACCCCACATGATCATCTTCATAGACACTGAAAAGGCATTTGGTAAACTTCAACTTCCATTTTTGATTTTTAAAATTATTAATAAAACAGGGATAGATGGATGCTTATTTAACCTGATAAAATATCTGCCTCCAAAACAGCATTTTGCTAATGGAGTAATCCTAGAAGCTTCTCGTTCAAGTCAGGGACAAAGCAAGACTGTCTACTGTCACCATTATTATTTTTCATTGTTCCAGGGATAGAAGGCAACACCATTAAAAAGACAAAGAAATTAACGTATAAAACTTCCAAAGTAGGAGGTAAAATGATCATTTGCAAGTGATATGATAGCATAACTAGAAAACCTAAGAGACTAAATTAAAAAACCATTACAAACAGAAGATTTCAGTAAGGTGGTAGGACTTAATAGCCTTTATATAAACAACCTCCATTTATGGAAGAAAAGAGTAGCCAAAAAAGGCTATCCAGAAGATATAAACTTAGAAAATGTACAAGATCTAAATGAAGCAAAATATTAAAACATTCCCAAGGGACACACAGGAAAATGTGAACAAAGAGAAGGGTATATCATGTTCTTGGAAGGAAAGATATCATCATCAAAATGGCATTTCTTCCTAAATTAATAATTTATAAATTTAATGCAGTCCCAGTAAAAACACAAACAGGATTTTTGTTCTTACCTAGACAAGATGATTCTATAGTTCAGACAGAGAAAAAAATAGAACATCAAGGAAATTCTGCACAGGGGGTTGGTGAATGACAAGGAACACACACCACCAAATATGAAAATGTTTTACACATGCTACAATATGGATGGACCTTGAAAACATTCTGTTAAGTGAAAGAAGCCAGTCACAAAAGGCCACATATCATATGATTCCCTCCTTATGAGAGTCCAGAATATGGGAATCTCTAGAGAAAGAAGCAGATGGGGGACTAAGGGAGTGACTGCTAATGGGCAAGGGTTTTTTCTTGAGGTGATAAAAATGCTCTAAAATTGACTGTGGTGATGGCTGCAAAATTCCGTAAATATCCTAAAAACCATTGAATTGTACACTTCAAATGCGTGGATTGTATGGTATGTGAGTTACATCTCAATAAAACTGTTAAAAAAATTTTTAATGTATTATAATGCTACAATAATTAAAACATTATTGCACTGGGGTGGCCAGTTAGCTCAGTTGGTTAGAGCGCAGGCTCATAACACCAAGGTTGCCAGTTCGATTCCTACCTGGGCCACTGAGTTGCACCCTCCACAGCTAGATTGAAACAACTATTTGACTTGGAGCTGAACAAACAAACATTATTGCACTGATGCTTAATTACACTTGAATCGACACCTCCCACTTGACACCAGATAAATTACAAAACAATCACATATCATATATTTAAAAAATTAAACTGCAAAAGAACTAGAAGAAACCCTGGGGGAGCTGGGGTTTCTGTTTTTGTTTGTTTGTTTGTTTTTTTGTTTTTAATAATTTCAGCATGAGGAGGGCATTATAAGTATGACACAAAATCCAAGGTCTAATTCCATCATATACAAAGAGCTCCTACAAATCAATAAGTACAAAAACAACCCAATTGGTAAAATGGATCAACGAGATGGATATATAAGTCCGTCAGACTACATCTATTAAAATTACAAATGCACATACCTTTGACACAGTGTTTCCACTTCTAGAAATGTATCCTGTTGTTTTATTCACACCATTGTGGTTGTTTACTGCTGCGTTGCTTTTAATAGCAACAGGTTGGGTATGGTTCTACTTAGGGGACTAGGCAAATAAATTATGGATCTTCCTTGCTATGGAAGACTGTATGGCAAAAGAACGAGGAAGCTCTTTAGATGCTGACATACAGGATGTATTGCTAAGTGAAAAAGGTGCAGGGTAGCATGTACACACGTTTGATGGGACGTGCATAAAACGCCTTGGAAGGACACACAGGAAGCTGATGCCATTGGCTGCCTCTGGAAGTAAACGGGGCTGGACAACGTGGGGAGAAGGAGGCTTTTGTCTGTACACCCCTTCATTCCTGTGGGGTACTGGACCATGTGAATGTATTACCACGTCTGAAGATACATATTAAAAAAGAAAACAGCAACAGTGTAAGCACACTGATAAATGGCAACTGATCCTGTGCTGTAGGACAGAGGTGATAGGGAGGGGTGGGGACTGTGGTGAACTGGAGACGGGTCCCCTTTAAAGAGGCAATAGTTCAGTTCTAACCAATGGCTGCTATAGGAACACAGGCCTATGTTTCCTGATCCTCTGATTTTTTTTCAGGAGACACCAGAAAGCCAGGTTTTTATACAAATCTCTCTGTTTTTAAATGTTTCCAAATTCTTCAAAACTAAAAGCGAAAAAAAACAAACAAAAAAACCCCCCCACGAAATAACAACAAAACCCTAAGGTGGCTAAAAACGATCAGATCAGAGGGTTTGGGATCCCTATCTGAGGTAGTCAAGGAGGACAGACCCCTGGAGGTACCAAGTCCAGCTCCCTGATCTGACACATTGAACATGCCAGGCCCATAGAGGGAGAGGACATGCCACAGATCACACAGCGAATCAGGCCCTGAGCTGGGATCCCATTCAGGACTATTTGCTTCCATCTTATCGTACTGTCTGCTAATGCAGGAAACGATGGTGAGCGAGACAGACATGGCTTCTAGTAGGGTTACAGGAGAGGCTGGAGCTGGGGCCACGGTGCTGGCGGTAGTCAGAGAAGGCTGCTGGGAAGGAGGCCATGCCCAGCGGGAGCTGGCCAGACAAAGGGAGTGGGTGCCATTGTGGGGGAGGCACTCCGAGGAGGCAGCACAGCATGGGCAAAGGCCAACAGGGACACAGAGAGTTTCAGACAGGGCTGGGGTGTGGAGGGCATTCCCTCCCTGCACGGGGACTGCCCTGCAAAGGCCTGAGGGGGGACAAGCTTGGTGTGTGCAGGAACAGAAAGAGAGCCCTGTGGGCTCAGAGTGGGCCGAGGAAGGGGAGAGGCGGAGGGGGCTGGGGCGGCAGAGAGGGCATTGTGCAGGGTGACGGCTCCCACTCACACTTGCGCAGCTCCAGGCTCTTGCTCGGGCAGGCCAGGTGTTGGCCTGGTGGGTTCTGGGTCCTCTGCAGACAGGCCAGCATGGCTGAGCTGGGGGCCTGCGGTGCGGCTCACTCTGCGGCAGGGTCCCTGTGAGGAGGGAGATGACGTGCTTGTCACACAGGCTGCCCATGTCCACCTCCCACCTCCCTCAGCTGGGACTCACTGCCAGCAGCCTCTCCACTACCCTGCAGAACGTTGAAGACTTTCAGAGCACACACCCTTCCTCCCTTATTTGACAGATGAGGACAAGAGACACCGAGAGGCTCCTGCATGGCCTCACTGGAGGGAAAAGGACCCAGCTCCCCCGAGTGCTGGGTTTCTACCACGACGGGGCCAGAACTGCTGAGAGGGTGGGTCGCCTCCTCCAAGGGGCTTCCCTGATGCCCAAGGTCCACTCAGTTCCTCACCCCTCCATGTTTTCTCAGCAAGCTGGAGGTGGTGGCTTCCAGCGCCCTTGTAACCACCTGTAAGCAGATCTGTACTCTTACCCGCCCCCCCCCCCCCCCCCCCCCCCGCTTCAGCCTTGAGCTCCTGGAGGGCACAGACCCCATCTGGTCATCTTTGGAACCTGCATGGAGGGGTGCCCAGGAACTGCCAGTGGGCGCACAATGTTCCAGTTTATTGAAGTTGGTCTGCCCCTCGTCTGGGGTATTCTCACATCACCTTGGAGGGGCCGTGTCCAGGATGGCATCCCTGAGAGAACAAGGGGGCTCCAACCCTGACCCAGGTCAAGCCTGACCTTGATCTCAGACTGAGCCCTGAGCCCAGGTCCCAAGGGCCACCAGGGCTCCCTGACCGAGTTCCCTACCCAGGCTGGGCAGAGGTCCCCAGAGGTGGCAGCTCAGATGCGACTCCAGACAGGTCCACGTTTGCTCGCTTACCCCCAGAGTCAGATGCCTGGCGTTCACATGGAAATGTGCATTTATTCTCACAAAACCCACTTTCCTGAGAACCCAGAGTGCCTGGGGAGCAGGGTGATACAGGCAAGGCCTGCCCTGGAGGCCATGGGAGAAGGTGGGGCTTTTTCCCTGCCAGGTCCTTCCCTTCCTTTCTTCCTAGTAAGGAGACAGCAGGCCCAGGGTGAGCTGAACCCTGGACACCCCTGATGTCCAACCAGCCCGGGCGCCCCATCCCTATGACCTCCTGACCCTACCCCACCCCCACACCCCAAGTCCCAAGCAGCCAAGCTCAGCCAACTCAATCCTCATGCTGGTTTTAAAAAAGAAAGAGTGTATATATGTGTGTGTTGGGGGGGGGGAGGGTAGGGAGGGCGGTTTAGGGGGAAGAAAAGGAAGTTATTTAATACTAAACAGGTGTCTGGAGCCCTAAATTCTGCCGCTTTCTTCTAATAATGAAGTATTCATGAGGAAAAGCCTTTTTTCCCCTACTTTCTTAAGATACTAATTTCACAACAAGCTCCTTGTTACCACGCAATTATTCCAATCTTGTATTTCCCCGAGACGGTTGCAGCCTCCTGTCTGTCCTGGCCTCTTGGTAAATGAAAGACAATCACGTAACCACCTTTCATTATGCTCTATTTTACTTTCAGCAAAGGTACCCTGAAAGAAATGATTTACACTGAAAGGGACTTTTATTCAGTTTCAAAACCAATTTTCTCCTATTACTGTCTAAAAAAAAAAAAAACAAGAGAGAGAGAAAGTAGGGGATAGATGGGGGAGGGTAGGTGGTTCTCATCCTTCCTCTACCCCCCAATCGCCAGCTTTAACGCAGCGACACAGTAAAAGCTACAGTATCCACTTTCCGGCTTTGATTTCTGGTAATTTTAAAATATGCCATTACAATCAGGCAGAAATTATACAGTTTAAAAAGGGAATGAAGTGGGGCTTATTGCAGAGATGAAAGCCCTTGACTGAGGGAATGAGGCACCGGCTCCTTGGGGACCTGGGACACGAGCAGGTGGTGGGAGCAGGCCTCATGGGGGCCCTTTTGGACACCGCCGCACACATGGGCACGCTCTGCCCCTTGCGGACACTCGGGGACATTTGGATACGCCGCCCACCATACTGGGTGTCCACACACACCAGTACTTGCTCACTGCATGTTTTCCTGCAGATGGGCATACCACTGTTGCACCCTTGCCCACACCACGTGACACACCCTTCCACGCCCTCTGGCACCCTCTCACGCACACACTCACAGTCCACAGACGCACAGACACACACCCCTGGAAGGTAAGAGGCCAGTGGCTACCCCACAGCATGGCCTCTCTCCCCCACTCCAGCCCAGTGCAGCACCCACCTCTTGCCGCTCTGATGCAGGAGTTGATGGAGAAGGCCAGCTCCCTCCTCTGTCCCAAGCCTCTCCCTCCCCAGATGGGGAAACCCAAGCCAAAGGGAAGCAGCACCCTGCCCAGCGGCACCCAGCCGGCAATGGCTGGGTGAACCTGCTCCCTCACCCCTGGGCTACACTGCTGTCCACTGCCCGGGGCAGTGCTGGGCTGGAGAGGAGGGAGGCCAGCAATCTGGTGTGCTGAGGAAACCGGGGCTGGACGTCTGAAGCCTCCCCCAGCCCAATTCCCGCTGTGCGACCCAAAGGAAGCTACTGACCCTCTCTTACAAAAGTGGCTCCATGACCCCTCCCAGGTCATTTTCCTCCGGGTCCTGGACTGGCACAGCCCCACCTCTGGAGGTCCTCCCCACCTCTGGCCTTTAACCAGGTGCCAGGGGCCCAGAAACCCAGCCCCTCTCCAGCCCCACCCCCCACAAGTCCCCACTGCCATGCATCCCAGCATGCTTAGCAGCTGAAAAGGGCAGGCTGGGGGCTATACTTGTTAGCAGGTGAGGGGCAGGCTGTATGTTCTGGGGCCTCTCTGGAACCCGCTCTCCTGCCCTTCCAGTCGGACTCTGGTTTTCAGAATGCACTGATAATGGACACCCAGGCAGTTCTGGGAGGCAAGAGGTTACCTGCCCCAACTCGGGGCACAATTCCCCTGAGGTCTCAGCTCTGCTTTTCCGGTGCAGCCAGCCACCTGCATTCACCCCTTACTTCTAGAGACCCAGCAGGCAGGGAGGGCCCTGCAGCCTGAGAGATGGTCTTCACTTAGAGAGGAGGGATTTTTCTCTCTCTGTACCCCCGGTTCCCCCAATTCACTGCCCATTCTCCCAGGAACCCCGTGTCCTGCTGCTGGGGCAGGTGGGGATCCAGGGTGGGAGTGGGACGAGGGCCACCTGAACATGAGGACGCGTGAACCACCAGCTCCAGTTTCTATATCGTCCCCACCATCTACACACAAGATCAAGTCAGACCCCTCTTCTTGGCCTTTAATACTTTTCTCGGGCCTCAGACTAGAAACCAACCCTCGTTGCCTGGCCCTTAGGCCCCCATAACCTGCCACCCTCATCTCCCCTAGCTTCCTCTTAGCCCTCCCTCCAGCCTGGCTGCCTCACACCTTCAAGCCTTTGCCTGTGCCGGTCCCTCTGCCTCCCCACCTCCGGGCACCCTCCCTCACAGCCCTAACACACCAAGTTGTAACTGCCAGTTTTCATGTCTGGCTATCTCCACCGGACTGAGTTTCTCAGGGGCAAGGACCATGTCGTATTTGTCTTTCTCCCCAATGCCTGGCAAACAGTAACCTTTTAGTAAGCAGGTGTTGAATGAATGGCTGAATCAATGAACTGGTGATTGTCAGATGACGTGACCGAGGCCCAGAGAAGCCAACCACCCTGCACAAGGTCACACAGCAAGCTGGGGACAGAACCGGGGCCAGCACCTAAAACACTCATGATCCTCCCACGACCCCACCCTGCCCCTTCTCTGCATAGCATCATCCCATCTGCAGAAAGCTAGCCCCTCAGAGCCCCCACCCACACTCATTACTCCCCCAGCCAGGGACCATCCTGGGAGCTCTGCTCATTTTGAAACCCTATCTGCAAATCGGGCTGTTTATAAGCCCAAGGTCTTTTGTGACTTTAATAATAAAAAAAAAGGGGGGAGGGGGAAGTGTGGCAAGCCTCGCTGATTAGAATGCTTTGGCACCATCCCTGACATGGGGGCTGATAAGACACCTTATCTCAGAGGCACCCCTAGGAAAAGGTCCCCTCCACTAGATAACGCCCCCAGCTGTCGATATGCCCTTTCATAGCTAAGGATTTAGATAAAGGAAATGTGACAGGGGAGGGGAAAGAAAGGAAGGAACTTTCCAAGTCCAAGGAGGAATTGAGTCTGTGCTGCTTGTCTTGGCAGAACAATGCATAGGAGAAGGATGTCTAAAGGCTCTTTATTTTTATTAAAAGAACAGGGAATTGGGGCTTGGGGCCCTGCCTGCCTTTTGTCATCTCTCCCTTTCTGTCTGGCTTTGGGGACCCCCAGGCCAGTGGGAGGGGGTAACTCAAAATTAACAACCCCCCCCACGAGTACTAATAATAGCAGTGCCATTTACCAAATGCTCCCTCTGTGCCACACCCCATGTGCATCCTGTCTGGTATACCTCACCACATCCTCCTAGCAGCCTCTGTGGTGGGTTCTGTTTTCAGTCCCATTTTACAGATTAGGAAATGGTCACAGAGAGGGGAAGGAATCTGCACAACGTCACACAGCTTTCAGGTGGCAGAGCCTGAGGGTGTCAACCCCCACCAGAGCTGCACGCTCAGCCCCACACTGTACAGCCCCCACTCCTGGCTGTGTCGTGGTTGGGGGCCTGTCAGCCTCTAGCTCCCAGACAGCTAGGCAGTGCGGAGCAGAAGCCAAGGCCTGCTTCTCCTCGGTGCCCAAACCTACTTTGATTCTACTCCAAGAAGGGCTGGGTCACGGAGAGGGAGGAGGTGAGAGGAGGAGGAGGAGAGGCGGTGGCTCCCAGGAGGCCGCTTATCCCATAAACTCACGGAGGACAATGTGAAAGGCCTGCTTGGGCAGAACAATACTGAGATGAAGAAAGCCTAGGCCCTGCCTCTGCCTAGGGAACCATTTTGAAGTGGCTGTCATTTACCCACCCATTCATTCATTCATTCATTCATTCAGGCAGGCAGGCAGGCAGCAAACACTCCCTGAGCATCTTTTGTGGGCCAGTCCTGCGCCAGGTGCTGGGAGAACGAAAATCAGTGGGTGTCCTACCAAAAGGGAACATCCAA